AATCTACTCAGTGTTGCAATCACTGAATTGCACTGGGTAATCGATTTTAGAGTTTGCTTTAGGTTTGGAGGAGTTGCGGGTTTTTTGTTGAATGTTTAGTGATATAACTTTTTAATTGTGTTTGGAGTGGGGTGGGGTGTTTGAGTATTTTTATTGTTGATTGCAAAATGTTTTATTTTGTACTGTTTTTATTTCTCTGTTATTTTCTTTTCTTGTTTTTATTATTGTTGGATGCTGTTTTTTTTTTATTATTAGGAGGACTGCAGATGTAAACTAGCCTTCGGCTAAATCTGGTGCAATGCATCAAATTTTTTATGTTTATGTTTTGATTGCACATTGTCCTCACAAATAAAAATTCATTCATTATTAACTGTCTCCACAGTAAATGCAGGTATTTTTTAAAACTGAGGCAGATTTGTGTACAGCCTGAACAGGGACTCAACACTTGCTAACTGAAGGACCTACCTTGTTTGGGGGTACCAGAAGGAGCGGGTTAATAAGGAGGACTTTATAGTACTCCTCACATGGATCATCTTGAAGAGTCCAGGTAGTTCTGTACCACTCTGCAGAAAAAAATATGTCATACAGCTTTGTCACACAAACCACGCACATAGTACAGTTTGTATTAATGTTTATCAAAGCCAATAAGAGTTTGGATTGTGAGAGTGCGAAATAAAACGTGTGTTTGATGGAAGTTAACGATCAATAAACTGAGTGCCTTGCCCACAATTTAACATTATGGCACTAAACCACTCATGTTTAGCACTCAGGATGAACTTCACAAAACTATGGTGGAGGTATAAATGATTAATGGACTGTACTTATATAGTGCCTTTCTATCCAACCAGGATACTYAAAGAGCTTTACAATATAATCTGTGTTCTCATTTATCCATTCAAACAGAACTCTACTGCATCCCTCTACAAAGCTAATCTACATAAATCATTCTAGAGAGTCTAGTCAGTGCTTTAAATCACATTCATACACTGATAGGGCACACATCAGAGGCAGTGGGGGTTCAGTATCTTGCCCAGGGACACTTCAACATACAGCGGGTAAAATAAGTATTGAACATGTCACCATTTTTCTCAGTAAATAAATATATTACTAGAGGTGCTAATGACATGAAATTTTCACCAGATGTCAGTAACCCAAGTGATCCATACATACAAAG